TCAGTTATTTATTTATTTATTTGTATAGTCCAGGTCTTTGTTTTCTTTATACCCATCATTATGCTCAGTTATTTTAAAGTCAGTATGTATTCTAAAGAGCAGTGATTACCTGTACCCTACTTATGTCCTTATATCCTTTTAAATTGTTATTAGGCTGTGATCTTTAGGCAGGCTATCGAAATAGTAGGGTAAATTTTTCAGAAAACCTTCACAGAAAATACTACTAATCATTGACAATATTGTGACTTAAAACTTGGATAGGACTCCAAATTTAATGTTAGTAGAATGTTTGCATATCCTACTTGTACCCCTTTAAATGAAGCACTTACAAAGTGATCTCATACAACTTAAAACTGGAAAGTCTTGAAAGCAGGAGTATAGGGATAGAAGAAAAGAGGAGAACCTCTGTTTCCTTTAGTCACTTTTGTATAGAATAGAGCCCCCCATTTAGAGAATTGCCTTATTTACAAAAACTTGTAATTGTAGAGAGGCAATTTATAGAACAAATTCTTAGAGAGTCGTGGATCAGAGAAACTGGAGTATGGTAACTGATTTTTAGAATTACATTATTTGGGGAACAGAAATGGAAACAAGGGTTGAATTTTGCTATCTTGAGTAATGACCTTGCTGAGGGAAACATTAGAGGTATGGATTAATTTGCTGTTTGGAAAAGGCGCTTTGAGAAAAATAGTTTTGCTCCATTCCACGGTGTTCGAGGGTTACATTTGAGCACTATGTGATTTCATTTTTGTGAACTTGTTCTAAGACTTGGCAGTACCGTAATTTGAAAAATATTAAAAGTGTAATTTAGAACAAAATTCATTAAAAAAAAATTATATAGTTATATGGGTTTGGACAAATTTATCGACCACTGCAGCCACAGTAAGACCCCTTCCATCACACTCAAAATTCCCCCCATGGCTCATTGTAGTCCAGTCGTTCTCCTGTCTCCAGTCCTTGACAACCACTGATCTGATTTTTGTCCTTATGCTATTTCTTTTTCCAGAATGTCATATAGATCAGTACAGTATATAGCCTTTTGAGCCTGGCTTCTTTTACTTAGCATAATGCAATTGAGATTTGCTTATGTTGCTGTATCAGTAGTTCCTTCCTTTTCCTTGATGAGTAGTTGGTATTCTGCAGTGTGGATGTACCATACTTTGTTATCCTTTCTCCATCTGAGGCCATATAGTAGGCAGCAAAATGACCCTCTGGTCTCTAGAACCTGTGAATGTCTTACTTTTGCATACTGACAAAGGGATTTTGCAGATTTGGTTAAGGTTAAGGACTTTGAGATGGGGAGATTATTCTGAATTATGCAGGTTATCCCAGTTATCTTCCCATTGAGTAATTTAGAGGGAAAGAAGAGTAGGTCAAAGAGATGTGCCTGAGGGGACCTTGTGACTGGAAGCTGGCAACCAGCCAGGCAGCAGGGACTTTGGTCCTCGCATATCAGGGAACTGACTGCCCAAATGAGCAAGGAGTGAATTCTCCCCTAGAGCCTCCAGAAAGGAAGGCAGTCTGTAGGGACTTTGATTTGAGTGCAGTGAGACCCTGCCCAGACTTCTGACCTACAGAGCTGTGGTATACATTTATGTTATTTTAAACTATTGACCATGTATATATGTGTTAGATCTGTTTCTGGACTCTCTTGTGTTTCATTAATCTAGATGTTTATCCTTTCTCTAATACCATTACTGTCCTAATTACTGTAGCCTTTTAGTCTTGAATGTGATAGTGTGCATCCTTAAACTTTGTTATTCTTTTTCAAAATTGTTTTGGATACTCTAGTTTCCGCCTGTGTCTCATTTTTAATAGGACAAAACTCCTTAGTTGGTAGACTGGCTTCCTTCAGCCTCTATTTTACTCCCAGGATAGCAGAAAGAACCAAGGGTTATACCTATCGCTAGGCTAGTTTGCCTGATTGTTAGCTGATTTTTGCCAGAACGGGAAGAATCCTTCTGATGCAGTTCTCTTTCTTTTTATCCTTCTGTTGAGGTCTCTTCCCAGTATTTTTCTTTTGGACAGGAGATTGATTTTTTTTTTTTTTTTTAGAAACATAAACCTTAGTAATTCACACGTGTGGTTCTTTTTGGTTAAGTCCTGCAGATCTCCCCAGTGTATTACTCTGATTTAAAAACAAACTCATTCAAGTTACAAGAAAGAATCCTGCCCAGAACTGTATTGGAGGTTAAAGAAAGAAGGTGGACTGATGTTGGTTTGAGAACTTAAATTCCAAGGATAGACCTAGGGCTTTCTTATAATTCAGGGTCAAGACTGTAAATTAAGCTGCTTTAAGGAGCAGTGCAGATGGTAGAAGAGAATTGGGAAAATTAAAACTCTCTTTCTTTTTTCTTTATGAAAAAGAGTACAAAAAGCATTGTGAGATTCTTAAACTCAAGCCAGCCATGTTCTCTTTCCCTCCTTCCTTTATCTCTTCTCCAGTTGTTACAAAATTCTGACATGGTTTTAACGTGTTTGAAATATTTAAATGTCATTTAAATATAAATTGGAATTCCTCTAGTTTTCCTACCTCTGACAGTATGTTTTATCATCTGGGGGTGACATTTTTTATTTTCCTAAAGCTGGAAATAAGATGTATGTACACATAATTTTCTTATACTTTAAGACATTTCTTATTTTGTTTCTATTTTGCCTTTTATATTCTTTAGTGAAAATCTTTAAATTGTATTACAGAACTCTGAATGTATATGGTAGTTTTAGTTGTAAATCTGTGTCTGGAATTTTTTTCAGCTTCAGATGATACTGATGTAAAAGCATCTAGCTTTTCACTTTTCGGCCACAAGGCGGTGTACTGCCTCTACTGTCTGCAGTTTTTTTTTTTTTTTTTGGTGACTTCAACAGCCAGATCAAATCCAACTTAAGAAAAAAGGAACATTATACAAGTTCACTTTGGGCAATAAAAGAAATTATTTATGACAGCAGATAGCTTTATAGAGGGGTCTAGTTTTATCTGAAGGTGATTCAAGGAACTTTCACAGAGAAAATAAAAAATAAAATTAAAATAATTCATAAAATAATTCATTTCATTTCTTTATTAATTTTTACTTGGGAAAACTTAAGAGTTATTAAAATGTTGCAGGAATAAGAATAATAATATAAGAAGTATATTTATATATGCTTTACCTAGATTTATCTGTTATTAATATTTTATTCCGTTGCACATACTCTGTTTATATACTTGTGTATTTCCTTGTGAAACATTTAAGGCTGAGTAACATACATCATGACATTTTACCTCTAAATACTACATTGCATTTTTCCTAAGAATAGTGATATTCTTTTTCATATAACCACAATACATTGTTAACTTCAGTAAATTCAGCTTTAGTAAATTTAACATCAATAAAATAGTTTTGTCGAATCTGCCATCAGTATTTCCATTTGTCTCTTGACTCAATAATATCCTTTATAATGGTCTTCCACTTTAGTTGAGGCGCCTCACATCAGTTGTTACATTTAATTGTCACTACTCTTCAGCTTCCTTTAACCGGGAATGTTTCCACAGCCTATCTTTGTTTTTTATAACATTGACTTTAACTTCCCTCCCCACTTTTAATAGAATATTACTCATTCCCATTTTGGCTTTGTCTGATGATTCCTCATTAGACAGGTTATACATTCTCAGCTGTAATTTTACATGAGTCATGTTCTGTCTGTTAAGGTCTTGTGTATACCTAAGGTCCTTTTAATGGTGATGTTACTTTATGTTTTTATTCAAGTCATTTTTAAAAAATTAGGTTTATGTGTTTAGAAGAGAAATAAATGCCATTTAATTTTAAGAGCAAACAAGCATTTTCTCTAAAGGAACATACTTAGAAATAAGGTTCCCAGTAGATAAAATCTAATTTGACATAAGGCTTGAGATGGCATATTTTAACTTTATTTTTGCAAAGCTTTTAATGTAGTGTATTGGCATTTACTCTTTCCCTAGACTGCCAGGGAGTCTTGTTGATATCCTCTTTGGGATCTGCTAGTCATTCTGGTGAAAGAATAAAATCAACATTTGACTAAAAGAAATTTAAAAAATTGAGATATCTCAATATTAAATTTCTAAAATGTCACAATTAACACCAGATTAAAATATTTTTATAATCTCTATTTGAGTTTGTACTTGTATTAGTAAAATTTCAATACAAAACAAACTTAAAAGAGCCAAATGTGTTGGCTGGAAAGAAAATTGTAAACTTCTCAAGGAAATAATCACATCTTTATCCTTTAGTTATTTGAGGAATTTATTATTAAGTGAATATAAAGTTTTGTGAATAGGTAACTTTCCTAGATGTTTTTAGTTTGTTAGTCTTAGAGTGTGTATAAACATTCTCAGAAGGTGATAGACACATATTTTAAAGAAAATAGTCATTTTGAGTATTCATAATAGTTAATTTCTTGACTTTCTGAAAAGTATTTGTAACATCAGTATAAAGATGGTACAGTACTAAGAAAAAGTATTAGTTGAGCTCTTTTGCAGAACATAGTGGATCAGGGACTTTTTAGTGGCATCTTAAACATAATCAGTTTACTTTGATAACATATATATATATTACAGATAAAATATGTATTTCCCACATATTGTAAACATCGAAGCATTTGAGGTATGAAATTAGATGACTGTAAAATGATTTGAATGCCAAAGTGCCCATTAAATTTAACAGTTGAACTTGAAAAATTACTGGATTCTTCTGTGAGTTAGGATTTCTCCCATTAGCTACCCTGCAGAGTATTGGAAAGGAGAAAAAATTACCTTGGTATTCTTTCCAGGTTTGCTCTTTGATTTTACAAAGAAGTATACTACTTAAATTGTAGTAGTTTGTAGCTGCTACTTCTGACACTTGCATACATGTTTCTGTCTCCAGAGTGTACTGAATGGTACCCTGGGGACCGAGAAGGATTCCTTGTGTCTTTTCAAGTGTATAACTTAATTCTAGGACCTTGAATATTGTTTAAAAAGTTGTTTTTATTTGCTTTTCATTCCTCAGACAAGACAGCTGTGTAGATTCTACTTCATCCCTGAGAGAGAACAAGCGACCTGAAGGTTTGGAATCAAAACAAGGTAGGGGTCACATACTTGACTTTTTCTGGAACATTTGCCTGAAAATTACAAGCATTTTACCAATAATAAATTTTCATAGTCTTTTAGTTTTCCCTCATTTCATAAATAGGGAAAGAAAATAATTTATTTGATCTGAGGTCAAGAGTAAGGAATACATCTTTTGTTTTATGACTCCTTCAGGTATTGGAGTGGTTCTGCCTTAGTAATATGTGGGTACAAATGCCACCAGCAAGGTATCATTTTGAAAAGTTTTAATTCAATAATCTATTATATAGTCTTAGCTGCAGGATACTGTAGATATGTTGACTGGATAACTGTGGATTTTATGTGAAGGAAAAAAGGTGTATAGGGTTATTTTTTCTGTTTTTTTTCCTTGATGTTTTGTTGTTGTTTACTTTCTTATATATTGTTTTCTACAAATCAGGTAACTTTTGTAGCACTAGTAAAGTGGTATTTGTTACTTATTCAAGCCAGGTAGATCAGTAGGGCTAATCTATTAGATGTCTTTTTGTTTGTTTTTTCCTCATGCCTTGTAGGGAAAATTGAATGTAAAAATAAATTTTTATTAGTTCCTCAAAGACTACCTCACATTTTTCCATTTTCCTGATAAAATTACTTCGGAGCCATGAGAGTCTGTTGCGGCCAAAAGGGTTATGTTGTTTATTTCATAGGCAGCTAATCTTTGATGGCTTAGAATAGTTTCTCTGAAACTTAGAGTCATAAGAATTTCCTTGGTAGAGAGATATAGGTCATCAGTTTATTCAGGCAGAATTTATTCTTTTAAGCTGTGGCCTGTGTTATCAACGCTTAATTAAGAAAGGGGGGAAAAAGTTGGTTAATTTTGTGATTCCTTCAGTTCGCATGTAGAGAGAACAAAATCTAAGTTTTCTATAATTCTAACTTATGTATTCTGGTGTGTATGTATTTTTCTGATGATTTTGAGAATTCCAGTGCTTTTCAGAAGTCCTGTTGTGTTAACTTCTTCAATAGCCAGACAAAATTAAATCTTTGTATTCTTACTTCTTCTCAGTATATTCTTGCTTCTTTTTAGGCTCCCCACAGTCATAAACTCAGATTCATAGTTTTATTTATGTTTGTCGTGTATAATTACATGCTAAGCACACATCATTTTCATATAATTTAGTCATAAGCATTTAACTCTTGTATCCTGTGTGTATTTTGACAACACTGCTGTTGTTTCTGCCTTTGTTTCTGTTTTTGCATTTAATGAGCAGGTGGTGTAGAGACTGTTACTAGATTATCTGTGGAGAGACAAATGCCATATAAGGGATGGAAAAGTTCAGAATGGGCAGGTTGATTCTTGTTCCCAGGGAAAAAGGAATGGAGATCCCATTGTACAAATTAGCTACTGCCGCTGTCTAAGGGGAGTTCTGCTCCCTTGTTCCGGCACCTGGAGCTCTCTTCAGAATTCCCTTTCTGGTGCCAACAGCCTGTTTTGCTGTGACTTTTTTTTTTTTTAATGGTAACTTCAGTCATTTGAAAATTGGCAATGGAGGCAAAGAAGGAGAGAAAAATAACTCAGTAGCCAGATACCACAAAGCCCAGTTTTTAATGCTCAGGAGCCTTGATAGACACTCTCAGGTTCTCACCTCAGCATCAGAAGCTTCGGGAACACAGTCATCAGTAAGTGACAGCCAGCAGGGGTGAGGAAACAGGAGATCCAAGCCCCGCAGTACCGTTGTGCAGTACTGTTCATGTGCATACTGTGACTGAATTTTAGACAAAGGCCTATGAAATGGTTAAAATTGTAAATTTTGTTGCATAATGGGATATATTATAAATTATTTAGAAGATTCAATTATGTGGAACACCTTACAGATGAATGTTAGTAAAGCTGAAATGCAAACCAGAGAGTAAGTAACTTGATGGGAGTTACCCAAGAAGTTCAGGTACCCCAGGAAACAGAAATGCTGGTAGGCTCAGTAAAGGTTGCATTTCTTATAAATGAACTAATATTGTCTATTTTTAATATGCAGATTTTCAAAATTGATTTATTGTTATCTCTAACTTCTATTTTTGCTCACAGTTGGTTAATAAAAACAGAACATAATTCTTGTGAATGCATTGTCATTTTATTTAATGGCTTGACCATTTAGGAAAATTCATTGACGCTTACTTAGTATTAAAGTAACTGTTGAGTAGACCAAAATATAAAGCAGCATTGAATTTTCTCTTTGCTCTTTCAGGATAAAATAAATCTTAGTATTATGCCCTATTAATAGTATGTGATATTGGCAAGTTATTTAAATTATCTTTTCAGTTTTTTCAGCTTCTGAAATACTCAATATTGAGAAATAGTAACTATGAATTAGGTAAATTGAAATTGGCATTTCTTTGTCTAGTACTGGTATTATTTATCTTGTTGATAGGAAATTCATTATGAAACTGGCTGTGCTGAAGATGAGTATCAGACTGTACACTAACTTCTGCCTTCACTGACAAAACATTTAAATGTAAATATAATCCAGTTGATTGATACTGTAGTAAAATAGCATTAGGATTAGTGTTGTAAATCATTTTTAGCAAAAGGGTAGAAGAATGGTTTATATAATTCTAAATTGGTCATTTGTGCTCCAGTTAAAAAAAATGCAACTACTGTTTGTCAAAGATATTTATTTTTCAGTTTACGTGCTTTACAGTTTCCTTTTTTGCCTTTTTTTAAATTGGGGGATAACTGCTTTACAGTGTTGTGTTGGTGTCTGCCATATAACAGCATGAATCAGGCATAAGTATACATATATCCCCTCTCTCTTGAACCTCCCACCCCCGCCCCGCACCCGCCCCAGGTTGTCACAGAGCACCAGGTTAAGCTCCGTATGTCACGTGGCAACTTCCCACTAGCGCTCTGTTTTGCATATGGTAATGTGTGCAGTTCAGTGCTACCCTCTCTAATCATCCCATCCTCACCTTTTCCTTCTGTGTTCACCAGTCTGTTCTCTGTCTGCCTGTCAAAGTTATTTAATACCTTGAAAATATTTTTAAAAATGTAAAACAAATCTTTGCTAATATTAATGAACTCTCATATATTTATCTATAAATAAATAAATTTAAGACATTCAGTAATATTAAAGCAATTTAAATTGTTGCTTTAAAGTTTATAACGAGTATGTGTAGTTTTGCAAATTATTCTCCTTTGTGACTGTAAGAATTAAGCTCTTACGTTTGTGTTCCTTCTTGGAAGTTGTTATGAGAATTTTTTTTTAAACTCTACATGATTAAATAGCTAAGTTAAAATTGTGTATTTAGGATGAAGAGAAGAGTTGAGATTTATAGTAGTTCCTTTAAAATATTTGAAAGGCTGTTATGTAGAAGACTGATTAGGTTTGTTCTAGTAGAGAATAAAAGTAGGGCTAGGAGATACGGTTATTATTAGATAATGGTTGGTTCAATTTGTTTATTTCAAAGAGTCAGATGTATCAGAAAATGCATTCTACTTTCTGATATATCCATATTGCTGAAGGTGTTTTCACACAAGACACACAAATGGCCACTTGGTGGTGCTGCTGTAGAGAAGATTCAAGTAGTGTTTAAACATTTGGATGTTTGACCTTAATCTTGAAGTTCCTATCAAATTTTCTAAAGACCAGTGCCTAGTGCAGTGTTGGCACTTGTGAAGATGTTAATAACTGTTTTATTAAATTGTTTAATGGAAGAATAATGAGATGTACAGTTTTTTCTCTCCATGTTTCTGTTAGAGAAAAAGATGCTTGACTTCTAGTCTTTTAAGCTGTTTGATGGTTTCCAAATACATTCATTTGAATACACTTATAGGTAATGTAACCACATGGTATATAAAATGATCAAAATTAATAAGACATTGACTGCATTTTACTCTGCATCTTTTACATCAACTTTCTCATGTGAAAATTCTTCTTGTCTATTAGAGAAAGACATGCAAACAAAAAAAATGCACACAGACTTTTATTATGATTAGACTCAAGTCTTGTCACTTTTTTTAAAATTAATGTAGTTGCCTCACACAATTATATTTTGGCCTTCTAATTCAGGAGTTAGTGAATGATAGCTTTAAGAATTTACCTTGTTGAGAGCTTCAAGAATTTGAAAAGTAGACTTTAATAGGGAAAAATTGTTCACAGTGGTTAAACCATGTGATGAAATTTAGATACTTTCAGCCTTTCAGACTGCTGGTCAACAAGGTATAATTATACACACTCCCTGAGAATATAAAATGAAAATAATAGAAATTTTAAAGTGAAAAAATACATAAAAACTAATAAATTTAAATTTCTTCCTTTAAAAATTTTCAGTTAAATATAGTAATTATAATAGTTCATATTAATTATATATTAATTTTTAAGTAAAAAATATATGTAGTGGGACAGGTACTTAAAAATGTTTTCACTGATAGGTTTATGTAAACAATGCAGTTGAGACATGACTCTTTCAGACTGTTATTAAGGATTGATGGTGACCATAAGTGTTCATTTATTACCTCTAAAAAATTAAATGTGATATGAGATTTTTCCATTGTTTAGCAAAGATACTACACAAAAAAACTGTATGAGACTATTTGAATCCTTAAGGTGAAAGTAAATAGGAAAACTCAGTTAATTTTTGTTTTTACTGCTTTTGTTGTTATTGTTCTGAGGTAATACTGCTCTAGGGGAAGCGAAGGTAGGTACAGAGGGGAACTAGAATAAAAAAGAACAAAGAAATGAATTTTCTCTTACAAAGGGGTTGATTTTTGCTGAAAAGAACTTCACAACCATGGAGGAATAAGTACGAGTTATAAAAAGCTGCAAAGACAATGAGAAAAGTGTCATCAGAGACTTTTATTGCTCAGTAAAGAAAGAGAGAATGGAGATCATCAGTTAATTAAATAGCATTTATAGGCCAGAAGGTTTCTGTGAAGAAATCCCTGGATTGGCAAATGAACTCTGCCCAGCCTCTACATTTGAAGCCCACAGTTGCAGGCAGGCGTGTTAGACAGCTGAGGGAGGCTGAAAGGAAAGCGTTAC